TAGTTCCAAGGTGAAACTCGCTTAGTAAGTAATTATAAATAAGGCTTTATTAGTAAGATGATTCAAACGAACACTAACACATTCCAAACTTAGCTAAAGAGGATGATTTTGAGGCAAGAATCCATGCAAAATAAGAAAGCCTTTTTCTGATAAACATAAACTATAAATACTAAGTAAATTAGCCTTATCTTGCATTCATTAAAACTAACAGTTAATGAAAAAATAACTCGGATTAATGCGTCCATCACCATCGCTAAAAGATTTTTTCTTCTCTATACATATAAATGATTCTTTAAGTAAATAATGATACCTCGCATAATTTATGTAGAAACTATAGCTACAATATCAAGACAAGTTGGGTTTTGAACGAAATAAAAAACACACCATCATTGATTTATTATTATTATATCCGACGATATCATGCTGTAATACAATTAGTAAATCTTGATGATGTTCTTTATTGTCTGGTTTAAGGACAGACAATTGAATTGTTTAGTGAAATTGTGACGCCTAACAAGGGAATTATGGAAAATTTAACTCTCACTCCTTAAATAACCATTGGGGAATTATTGCAGCTAAGGTTCTTAGTCTAGATTTATAATAGCCAAAATAACCTTATATAAGAAAAATCCCATGAATCCGAAATAACTCGGTAGCTACAGATGTATAAGCTTATTTTTATTTAGATTAGTGCACAATTTAAATTTTTTCGGACCAAAAGTTCAATTAAAATAGAGAAGCGATTAATATATAAAATCAAGATAAAATACAAAAGTAATAATAAAGGGGTTTTAAATGAAAATAAAGAAGTCCCATCAAGGATATGAGCCATTAAACTTAAGATAATGATGAGGAGATTCAAATCATGGTATAACCATTCGCGAAATAGTTTCGGTGATAAGAGTAGGCCACATCTAGCTCTAACTCAATTGATATAATTTCTGAAATTTTTCGGTGAGATTATTGGTTAGTTAGAATTAAATATTAAATATATTTATAATAGTAAGCTATTTTCTCATATTTCGACTTCTAACTCCTAAGGGTTTGTAATACTGATATAATAACTGTCATTATTATTCCAAAAATGTTTAAGTACATGCTCGTTTTTGTTTCATAAAACGTTTTGGTTGTGTAAAGGCACCCACCGAAACTATTTCAAGCATATCCTGACGGGAAATATAACCATCCCCATCAAGGTCGTACATATTAAAGGCCCAACGAAGTTTTTTTTCTAGCCCGCCGCGGCTGGTTATGCTCAGGGTGCAGAGAAATTCGCGGAAGTCAATATTGCCGTCTTGATTTGTGTCAAAGATGCGAAAAACATGTTCTGCAAACCGAGAAGCCTCACCATATGGAAAAAAACTGGCATAGATTCGTTTAAACTCTTCAATGCCAAGATGACCACTTGGGCAATCCTAAAGGAGAAAAAAAACAATTGTCAGTACTCCCTAAAAAAGCACCAAAATAGTTATAGACTCTATTTGTAGAAACTGTATATGATTAAAAGGCAAAGAAAAAAAATAAATTGGGGGCTTGTTCTTAGCTAAGGTGATGATTCTGAGTGAAGTCCCAGTAAACATAGTCAGAAGTAGACATCAATCCAATCAATATATAATTATATTATTATATTAATACTATTAAATATACTATTGTATTATTGGTGCCATATAAATTATATTGATACAATATAAATAAAATTAAAAAAACGATCGGCAGTAGGAAAAATGAAGACAAGAATTAAATTAATCCCTGTTTAATGCCTGTAAATAATAAATGAAGATGTTCAGTTTATAATTGGTTTTACGAAAGTACCAATATTTCTTATAAAAAATTGTATTCTCCTTATTTCGTTTAAGTTGATGAAGGACTAGACTAGCGGTTTAATTTCCCCCCAAAGATACGGGTAGGTCTCATATTTTCATTAAATTTCGCATAGCCTTGTTTATTTAAAGGTATCATCATCGAGACTAGACTTAAGTTTCGATTCCACACAAGTCTCATCAGCCCTACCAGTGAGACTCAAACACAAGATTTAGGAGTTCAGCGTGTAATCTCGAAACGTTAATTACTTTGCCAGACTTCTACAAGTGCTCTTGGGCCAGAGGATATCAGTAAATTTCAGAGGAGCCAAGAACCTATTCA